CCCCCACCCTGCACACAGATCTGGGGGGCATGGATCCCCCCAATGCCTGGGAGGGAACACCATAGTGGGGAGCAACCCCACTGCCATGCAAGCCCACAGGCAGCAGGGTCGGGGAACAGGCCTCTGCTCCACTGCAGCAGCTGCCACCTCCTGCCAATGGCAAGAGGCTATGGACCCAAGCAGGAGGCTGTGGTCCCAGGTCCCTGGCCCTGTAGCCCTGGCAGCTGGGGGAGTCTTCTGCCTGGGCTGGGGGTGGGGGCAGGGACCTGTGGGTAGGCCTGGGGGGCTATGCAGGGAGTGAGGGGCACCAGCAGGGCTGGGGGGCAGTGAGGGGCATGAGCAGGGCTCGGTGGGGGGAGGGGGGAGTCCTGGGGGTTTGAGGGGCACCAGTGGGGCTGTGCAGGGCTTTCCATTTTAATCATAGATTTTGGGAATTTTATCAGAGAATTTGCAATTTTTTTTTTTTTAATCATGGAAAACCAGGTCATGATGGACTAGATGAGCTCCTAGGCCACTTCCAACTGTATTTTCTTATGACTTTTTCTAATCAATATGGACATAGCACTCGGAGAGAAAGGTTAAAACAGTAAAAGGTCTCTGTAATGTTGATCTGGGCTGTGCTTGTGGTACGTTTCTGTTTTGCACTCTGTTGTCATCTGCCTGTGTGATTTCATCTGCTTATGTTGTCACCATTTTAGATATTTTAGAGACTGTTAAGTCTGTCTGTCTCCTGTATCTATGCCTGCATCTCTTCCAGTCTCCCCTGTTTTCCCTCTTTAGAGGTTCCATCTCTCCTCCAAATTGCATATGGTTAAAACAAAGCCTCTAACATATCCTTCTTCTCCTCATTTTCATATACCTATGTCATTGGCAACTCCAGACAGGTTTTTCTCTACAATTCTACTTATTAAAAACAAAAAAAACCCCAACCTCTTCTCACTCTTGCTCCAGATAAAATGTTTGCTTATTCTCTTATTCCTGTTCTGTAGCTACTTCCTCTTCTTTGTTTCTTCTTTCACTTTCCTCCCCATATAAGGGTCAAAATGATCGCCAGCACTTAATGCTTCCCCAAACTCTTGTCACTGTCCTCTAAAAATTACAATTACTGGCATCCTTTGTCAAGCAAATCCAATTTAAAGGTTTTCACATCTGCTTTCAAATCCTATACAAACTGAACCTGGTTATGTCTGCTGTTTTGCATCTTAATTAACACCCTTCTTCTGTGAATAGGGCAGCTTCTCTGATCCCGTCATTTCCTTCTACTGTCATTATGAGTGCAGAAAGAAGTTACATTTTGTTGCATGATTGGCCCCCTGAAAGCTCTCTACAGCCATGCCATGACACACCTGCATGGCTGCAGAGCACTTTAAAAGTGGCCGATTGCACAATAAATTAACCCTCGTCAAATGAGGGATCAGATGAAGGTGCTCCACTTTAGAGCACCTTAGGGACCTTCTGTTTTCTAGGGTCATTCTGTCACATAATCAGGGCTGGGTTAATGCAGTCCAGCCCACCCCTGCTGCTGTCTGCAGGAAGGGAGAGGGGAGGGGAAGTGAGCTTTGGGCTGAGATGTGCCTGGCCTAAGCTGGAGGGGTGAAGGAATGGATTGGACTCCGCTCTGCCTCATGATCCCACCCCCATAGCCCTCCCCCCTCCAACTCAGTCCAAGCAAACCCCAGCTTGCAGTTCACTCCCCCTCCCTTCCTTCAGACAATGCAGGAGCTGGGGAGGGAAGGAGAGAGGAGGGGAGGGACTAGGGGAGAGAGGCTTCAGGCAGGCTCCTTGAGCTTAGTTGGCTCCAAAATGGAGCTCAGTCCCCCCGCCCCTGCCAACCCAACTGGCAAACAAATGTCTGTTGGGTTGTGGGGGGAGTGCTCTAACTCATGGCACTTTATGGGAAGTGCCATGAGTTAAAGCACTCCCCCCACAACTCAACAGACATTTGTTTGCCAGTTGGGTTTGCCACTTTTTGGAAAGTGCCATGAGTTAGAGTGGGGGCCTGCACATCTGTCAGCACTCTATGTGCCTTGTTTGTCACTATCACTCCACATCCTGCTGTACCAGTCTCCTGTGCTTTCTTCTGTGAAACCCTCCTTAATTCCCATTTTTTCCTACAAGGCCTTTACATGCAAGTCTATATGGGAGAGAGTGATCTAAAACCTTAATTTGTCAATAGACTTGAGATTTTTCTGGCATGTTTTGTCTGATTTTTAGAGCTCATTGTGGGAGAGACTATATTTGTGTCTTGTGCAGTACTTCAGTCTGATACTTGAAAAATGGTAACTCAATAAAATGAACTACAAGTGATTCCTTCCAAGGCGCAGAGGGAAAGCTTCCATTTTGCTGCCAATACTTGTCTCATCTGCAGCTTAATAGAGGAGTGTTGTCTTCAGGGCTGTCAACATTTAAATGCACCTTCATCTGTGCTTCTGCATAATTACCTATCATTTCTTAACTATCCTGTCAGTTCTTGAAAAAGGAAAGAAATACATGAATATCTGAATTGTCTGCAGAATACCTTACACACATTGGGCACTATTGGAAGAAATGGTACCTATTGAAATAAATTAATCAAGGAGATGCATTCTTTATCCAGAAATGTTGAATGTAATGCATCATAGAATCATAGAAAAGTAGGGTTGGAAGAGACCTCAGGAGTTATAGGCCAACCCCCGGTTCAATGGAGGACCATCCCCAACTGTATCATTCCTAATATATATGTGAGATGGTTAACAGTGTCCATTAACTCTTCTGTTTTCTCCTCTACAACTATTAAGATATTTTTGATAGTGTCATAGCAATTAAAGTAGTAGAGTTTTATGCCATTTCACAGGGCATTTAGCAGTTTGGCAAGTGCATCCGATATGGTACATGGTTTGTTCCTCTACAAAGAGTAAAGCTGTTTTGCTAAGAAACAGTCCTTTCTTAAGTGTAGTTACCATAATTGCCATTCTATGGTACTGTTGAAATACCACACTCTCTACTAAGCTGCTTTCACTGACTGAAATGTGATTCTTTCAAAACTATGTGTGGTTAACTTTTTAAAACCTTTCTGGGGGAGGGTAAAAGGAAACTTCTATGCCATATTTTCTCATATGCCCTCAAATAAGACACAAAAACTTGTTTTGGGAAGGAAAAATGAAAAAAAGTTTTCCCAGAACCATGGTTGAATTCTGGTTGTAGGGAGGAGGGACAGTCTTGCTTGTCCTCCTTTCTAGTTGCTCAGCCAAAAGCTGCTGCTAATTCAGCAGTGGCTGTGACAGACATTAGTTTTTGGCTGAGACCTGGCCCCTCCTCCATGTGATCAGAAAGGAAACATGATCTCCGGCAGCCATTCTTGCATCCCTACACCTCCATTCTGGTGTGGGAATCAGATTCCTCATTTAAAACCAGCATCAGAGTTTTGGAAGGATAATTATTTGGAGGCAGGTACATGTGTTATTTAAGTGAATATGGTAATTTATTGCATGTTCCCTGCAACTCAAGAGGATACTAAATATCTGCATCAAAATTTAAAACATGTGTAGTCTCTTTAGAAGAAGAACATTTGTCAGCCTGAGTTGAGATGTGGGGAAAGGAAATGGCTGTTTAATTGGAAGCATTAGCTTTCTGTATAATTTTAATTTATGAAGTTAAATCACCCTTAACTAACAAGGAAATATATTTTGCAGTGTGTTCTTATTTTTCACACTACAGTATAGGAGGTCAGAGAGATTCTCTTTTTCTCTCGCACAGTCACCTGTCTCTCTTACAGTATATCAGAAAATGTAGTATATTTCTAGCCTCTTCTTTTCATCTTGTTTTCTAATAGTTGGCTGGAAGCCTTTAAAGAAGGGGGATCCATCATTCACTGATCATGTACAGCCCACCAGAATATCTTGTCCTTATGGACATTTGAAATAAAGCCAGTCATAGCAAGGAGATCATTTGTAGGACTTGCCAACAAATTAGATGGGTTTTTAGGGTGGATATGAAATCTGGTTAAACAAACATTTCATTTGTTTAGCAGTTGATTGATTGATTCCAAACAAGAAAGCTTCACCATCTGGTTCTCAAGTAACAGAGATAATGTAGATACTACCAAAAATAATTTGTTCATGTTTGTTACAAAAACTGTTCAGGAAAATGATCCGTTTACTTATTTACTTTGGAAACAATATGCAACTCTTTTAGTTCAACATCTAGAATGGAATGTATACATCTGTGGGTTAGTGCATGTGTGTGCATGCGCACACATGCACACACACACCCAACAAAGATACTTCCAGGAGTTTCAGAAGAAAATGTATTCACTACTACAAGAATTGCAGCAGTCACCATTATATTTGGGTACCTGTGATATTCTGTATAACATCAACTGACAAATGATGATAATTCTGCACTTTTTAATGGCTACAACTCCATAATTTTAACCCTAAAAGCTTACATGTTTGACCTTATGCAATTTAAGTCTATGAAAGAATTTTCAATGTTTAAATTCTCTAAGTTTATTGGAAAATTTACCAGCAAAGGTATGCAGAGGATAGAAATTACATGAATGATGGATTTCAAGAATTTGAAATTCAAAATTATCTGAAGATAGGCTTTGGAATACTGTGGAAGGCTTTTTTGTCAATAGAAATTTTTCATTTTAGTTCTTTTATTTTTATAATCAGTTCTTTTATTGTATATTATGTTGTATAAACAAAATCCTTTATCAAAAATAATTTCAAAATAAATTGAAATGTTTCATTCAAAAATCCCCAAATGGGATATGCTGAAATTATTGGAATGCTTTTCTGGTATTCTTCCAAAAATTAGTATGGTTCGTTGCATCAAGGATTCTCTAGCCAACTTTAATAACTACCTTAGCTTGGAAAAGAGTGTTCCTTTTATCAATTTAACTGGCATAACTAATGGATACATCAGTACTGTGGATTCTAAAATGAAGTTATTGGTGATTGCATTAATTTTCTGCTGGACTTCAAGTTTCTTATTTTAGTGTACTTATTTTATTCCAGCTATTTATGAACTCTCCTGTGAAGCATACAAACACTTGGGCAAAATCTCAAATCAGTACTGGATAGATCCAGATGGCAGTGGGGCACTGGGACCTTTAAAAGTTTACTGCAACATGACAGGTAACTGTATGGAATTTACTAATTTTGTGTTATTTTTTAGATGACAGTGTGACAGAGGATTTGGAGACTTGCACATAATTCATATTGCTTGGCAAAAGAAAAACAAATGCTACGGGTTCATAAAGAGAAGCATGGGTAGTCTGAAAAAAGTAATCTCTGAGCTAGGTTATTAACCATTTGCAGTATAGCTATTTATTAACACTTGAGGGTTTGTATCCTCAGTTGCCTTCTTGGCACTTAGCCAGTCTACAAAAGCTCACCCTGCTTTTAAGTAATTGGATAAATCTGGCTTGGGAAGTAGCAGGCCTTGATCAGGGAAAACTGGAGTAAAAAGTTTCTCTGGATCTGGCATAGTGTTGTTTCTGTCTGGATAACATAATATTCATGGACAGACCAGAATGCTCAGATAGGGATTTAATTTTACTTTTTCTTCTTTTACCCTTTCTCTCTTGCCTAATCTGAGAATAAGCAGTTTAGTTGGAGAAGTGGTTGCATTTCTGTAGTATTAAAGATGCATTTTCTTTTGTTTCAAGTTCTCTTTGTTTTCTAATCAGTCTTCTTTGGTTGAAATTGCCATTATATGAAAGCTTATGCTATACATTTCTAATTTAGTTAATCTATAAATGTGCAAATCTGCCTTGCTTTCTGCTTGACTTCAGACTAACATGGCTAACTGCCTCTCAGTTTCACGTGGTCATTCTCCAAGAAAAAAAGAATCCTGTAAACTTTGAAGAGAGGTACTGCAGGATAGAGCCTCTGCCACCTATGCTCCCAACTCCCTCTCTTTTGGACAAAGAGAACAGGAAAGGAGACTCCATTCCATAAACTGTATTGCCATCAGGCCATGGGGAGTGAGCAAAGAAAATGAGAAATGATTGCTCAGATGGTCAAAGAATTATTTAATCATTTCCTGTGTTTAAACATAGCCTAATTTACTTTGGCATTTAGCTGACCCTAGTTAAAAGGAAATGCAAGGACTGGTTGATTCCAGGCAACTGCCACAAGAGAAATCTTTACTTATTCTCTGAATTTCCCAAAAGAAAGGAAAATTTTGCCTGAAAACTCAGCAAGCTACAAATGTGTGGTCTGTTTGCTTTAGAAGACTCTGATGGAGGCTTGTATAATTAATCTGAAGAAACCATAGTAGCATAGATCATCATTGCTACCATAAGTGGTGAGAGGCAGCATTGGAGAACCTGAAGTCATCCATGCTGTTTAGGTCTGGTAGAGAGGATTGTCATAACAAAATGGGACAAGGTCAGGTAATTCCAACTGAGGATCAAGAGCACTCATTGGAGGGAGAGCTACCTAAAGCCAGTTAGCTCCTGCTCCTATGCAGGCTGTTTTAAGCTGCTTTAGAATTTCTGCTAAAATAATAAATGTAGACCTGGAAAAATGAGCTTCATCCAGATTCTGGGCATTGTACCAAAGTTGCCAGGGCTGGGGAGACAAGTCTAGCAGGCTGCAATGAAACATAGGTGGAAAGGCAGTCTCTGACAACTGGGTCCCTCGCCTATTAGGGCTATCTAAATCATAACCAGAACCTTGAACTGTATCAGTAAGTAAACAGGCGGCCACAGCAGGAGACAATGCCAGGACCTTCTGATATATTATAGTGTTTCCTGCTGCTAAAGAAAATAAATGCAAGATTCAGCATTAGCTGTATGTTGCTTTGGGTACTATTCAAGGATAAATTTAAGTATATAGTGGTTTCTGGGGGTTTTTTTTTTTTTGCAATAATAATGCTGGATATGAAAAAGTGTGTCTGATTATGATTTTGGTACCTCTGACATATGCTAAGTAGTAAATATACCTGTAGACAGTAAAATAAATCCAATAATTTCCTCCAAACTAGAAACTACCTTGTCATGCTAATAGTACTGTTCCATTAAATAATTATTTTAGTTGCCTGAGAGAAATTATTTGGACAGTTGATGAGATGGGATGGTAAAGCAGAGCATAGATGATCCATGACCTGTCATCTGCATTAAGATGTAATGCATTCCATGAAAAAGTTTGAAAACCACTGCTTTAATCAATCTTGCCACCAACTCCTGCTTAATATATTTTGTTTTACTGCAGATATAATTCTCTATTTAAAAATATAAATGAGATTCTGAAAGAACTGTTCCTCCATTAAAATGCTAACGATTTAGAGTATTACTGTGAAAATTGGCATGAAAGTAAGTTTAATCACTCTGCTTTTAAAACTAGAAGGTCGTTCTAACAGTCATTGACCATAAGACAAATTATAAAAGTCCTTAACATAATGCAGTTCATCCCTGTTACCTTTATTTGGTTTCCATTATTCCCCATAAAAACAGTATAAATATCTTGAAAAAACAACTAAGGTCTTCCCTGATACAATTTAGATCACCTGCTTCCTAAATCTTGATCAAAAAATGAAGTAGCATTGTCTGAAATGCGTCGATTAGGATGGAAAAAGGAAAATAATAGCAATGTGCATCTTTTGTTGCCTTTTGAAATGTACTGAAAGATACTTTAACATGACAGTATGAAGTGAACTAATCAATAGGGAATTCAAGAAAAGACATGCAATGCAGTTATATTGGAAGAAATGACTCCATTAGGTGAATGAGAATTAATGTTTTGATTAAAATGAGACAAAGCTCTGTGATTTAGGACCTCATTACAGTGTAATTTTGGGCAGCTCCTGGAGCTCTTAGCCCCTGAATAGTCCACGCACACAACACCTAAAACTGTTTTTAAACACTCATTATGTAGCTCGGAATTACACCACTCCTATGGCAGGTTTGTCTCTGATCTGTGTTACCCAGCTCGTGTTACACTAAGCAGGGGCGGGCAGTTATTTTGGGCGGAGGGCCACCTGCTGAGTTTTGGTAAGCCATTGAGAGCCGCATGACAGGCAACCAGGGGCAGATAAATATTAATTTTCTAAAAATTTTAGGGACCCCGTTTGCCAGATAGAATAGCCTGATGGGCCACATCTGCCCCGTGGGCTGCATCTTGCCCACCTCCACACTAAGGCATAGCCATTTAAGCTTCACCTTAGTGCAGGGGTCAGCAATGTTTTTGGGCAGAGTACCAAAAACAACTGCAGCCTCAACTTGTAAGATGTCGGACTGCCAGAGGCCGGTAGCAAGAAAGGCCCAATACTCATTGTGGCAGTGCAGCCCCACGCCTTCCCTGCCGTCCACCCAGAAGTGTGCATGCTCTTGCTGTTGGCAACAAGCTGGACTAGGACTCTGTGGTCCCCGGTGCAGTTGCTTGCAGCCTCCCTGCTGCCTGCCGCAAGCAGCCTGGGCTCCATGGCAGGTGACGGGCCTGTCCAGAGTCTGGGCCAGCAATGACAGGCAGCCAGGAAGAGCAGCAGCCCAGCAGCAGTGGCCCAGCAGGCAGGTTAACCCTTCCCTGCCTGCTTCCCTAAGACAGACAGCACAGGCAGCCATAAGATAGTAATGCCCCAAGTGAAGGGAGAGACAGAAGGCAGAGGGAAACCCTGAGGGATAGCGGGGAACCCCAGGGCTGGCAGAGGGGAGAACTGGGGGAGTCCTGAGGGGCAGGGGGCAAAGGAGAAGCCCCAAATGGGAGGGGAGCCCTGAAGTGTGACTACTCCAAAGCCCAGTCAAAATTTGTGCAACACAGAATAAGTCGTAACAAGGCCCTAAGAGCAGTATAGAACCCGATGCTTATTAGATCTAAAATACATTAAATCTCTCCTCATTCATCGTGTATACTGACTATATCTGTTAGTTTTGTGAAGGCATCAGTGGACATTGCTTACCAAACTTGCCAATTTGTTTTAAGAGGAAATTTGAAGAGTCTTTTGAATGACTAGGTCTTTAGTACATTAATCCCCAGATTCTAAATATATTTTGCCAGGAACAGAAAAAAATCAGCCATCTGAAACCCAGAAAGTCTCTGACTCTCAAGTCTTGAAAATACTATGTTCATCTTTTTTTCAGTGAGAGTCAGAGCAACAAGTTAGGGATCCTAGTAGTATGTCCGTAAGGTCACCTTCCCTTAGAAAAGCTGAAGAGAAAACCACAGTTCAGTAGATAGATGTCCATATTTCTAATTTTAATTCATGTCAATATTTTTAAAGTGTCTTGATTTAGTAGTCAGGAATGTGTCATGGTGATGAGTTATGCCCTTCAAAGATATCTTTCTGGTAGCAGAAAAAATGTGCTGTCTTTTAAAATATTTTGGCTTATCAAGAGTGTAAGCAAAATATACAGAATAAAATGTATCTGTAATGTACAAGAGCACCAGAAACCATCTGACTTTTTCTCTAAAATGCTATTTATATTCAAAACAAAAAAGCTATTCCTTTTATCCCCAAACACAGTGCTGCATTATGAAAAAGTGGAAGCATAAAAATTGAAGTCCTCATAGCAAAGTTAACTTGTTTGACATTTCATATTTACTATTAAATTAGTAAGGCCTTAAAAATTCGAACCGTTTTTAGAGATGCCTAACAGTTGTCCAAATACTCATGAATACTAACAACTGGGTGAATATCAGCATACCAAACTCACTTCGCAGTAATATTTGCAAATCAGCATTTATACCATTTGTCCAGCTGTAGCTTGAAGCCTTTCAGAAAAATTCATTTATGCAAAGGTGGGGTTTTTGGGTTTGTTTTTTTTTTACCGTGACCTGACATATTGTACAGTATTTAATTTGCATTCAAGATTAGCCAAACTCATGAGATGAATCCAAAATTAAAGTTCTATTTTGCTTGGTTTTAGTGCTTTGGTTCATTTCCCTATACGGGAAGGCTCAGTTTGTGAAGTTAGGATGTTACTCCAAAACTGAATTCAGTTAGATCTCCCAAAAATTATAGAACTCATTTGTAAGGCTCTGGTTTGGTTCCATCTTGGATCTTCACTAGAGCCAGGTACAGATATTACATTTTACCAATCTATATGATCATAAACCAATCTAAAACCATAACAGAACAGAAGTTCAATGCACATAGACTGATCTAAAAATGCTGGAACCCAATCTAAGACAGA